GAAGGACAACATTGTTTTTCAATACAAAATTGCTACAAATCACTATGACAAAAAATGTTCCTATGAGCATTTTCTTATCTGACATCATTGTGGTTAAGATTTCCAACCAAATCTTATCCATTAACATTTGATTGGATTTGGTCAAGCACATTATAATGATTCAACTTAAAATAACTACTTGATGACGAAGTTTAGGAAACTTTCGTGATCGGATAAAAGAAACCCACATTGGCTGTTGGTAAGAGAGGGAAAATGAACAGTCCAACACTTTGTCAACCAATCTATCCACCAAAATCTCCCTACATGGATGTTTAGACTCTTTAACAAAGTCATGCTTCTGCCATTTGGAGGGCCGCTGAAGGTCCTTGTCATTTAAAAGTCAACAACCGAATGTTGTTTTGTAGATATTTCCAACGATTGATGTCCATTTTTTTGGGGAGGACAGTCTTGGCTCAGTAGTCTACAGTCAAAAAACAGGTCCCTAGTTAGTGGGAAGAATTGTATAATGTTGCAATTAAAATCATCTATTACTTTTTAAATGTAATGGATAACGTGTTTTGTGTTTTTGGGAGCTATCATGTCAAAGCTATAAATTGCCTGAACTTCACTAATCCTTATTTCTTCTATACTTTGTTTATTGTTCCTATATTTGGATTAAATTTTAACAAAAGCTCCAAAACTGTCACCAACTCATTAATAAGATTAGTTTTTACCCATATGCTAATAAATTGGAAAAGACCAGTGAAGTCAAGGTACTTATGGCCCCTGAGATAGGCCATACAAATGTTTAAGTGAGAACTTTAACTAGATCAAGTGTTATCATTTTGATTCTTATCTCTTACGTTTTAAAATTCAGTGTGTGTATATATACACATATTGTGTGTAAGCTCACTACCAAATTGTGTGTGGCTGTCAAGACCCCCAGCCTAAATTTATTTTAAACACTCCTTTTTGTGCAGTTTTATTATTTTCCTTGTTTTCCTAATATCTTGACATATTTATTTATAACACAGTAATTTGATGTATTTGCTAATTCCAATTCTTTACAATACAAACAGTAAGGGCATTATCAGCAGTCTAACCAGCTCAGTGCTGATGCTACAAACTGAAACCTACCACTCAGACTCAATACGGTCTTAGTGCGCACCTCAACTACCTTTAATAGCCTTAACTAATTCAGCCTGCTTGGCCCTCAGTAGGTCTCAGTGGTCTTGCTGGGTGTTCCAGACAGAGATCCCAGTCCCCTGTGGTCTTAGACTGGATGCCCTGGGTCTGTAGAGGCTGGGGGCCGACCGGCAGCACTGATGGATCAGCTCAGGGCCGACTGTAGGGGATCAAGCCGGGGCCTTAGGGTTAAATATGTGGCATGATGGTGGGATTGACAGTAAACCATGCATAAAGACTCAGATGGAATCATAGGCCTGCACACATAACTGCATGTGTGAACATGCACCATCTACACATGTCAAGTAACACACAAGATGAAAATATGTGGGACTGTGTCACTGTGGGCAGGTTAGTGCCTCTGACATTGTAGCCACCTGGTTATACTCCCCAATGTCTCAAAACGCTGTAACTTTTCAGATGTTTTTTTATGTCTTTGTGTCATGTTAGCAAAAATAACTTTCCCTAAATTCAAAATAATATTTTAAGATAGACAAATGGGAGGATAAGGTCATGTCAAATTAATTTATGAGTGATGACAAACAAAAAACAAGACTAAAAAGTAAAGAATAGATGAAATTTAAAGTTAAATTTGACATTGGAAACACCAGTCTAGAAAAATTATGTCACCACAAGGTCTACGCTGTTTTAATTTTAACACACAATCTTCCTCTACAGATGTTTAGTTGTCATGGAAATGTAGATGCTCAAATTTTCATCCATGCTGTCTTAAAAGTTAATATTGAAAGTTAATTCAAATAAGAATAGTAAATACACTAAAGAACGCTTAATAAAAATATTATGAATAATCAAATTATCTGACCCACATAAAACACACTTGGGTCATCAACATCATTAGGTCTCCGATTGAAGGGATATTCTCTTCATTTGGAGCTACTAAGTGTCGCAGACATTATTTACTCTTAATAAATATATATATGTTTATGCCACATTTTTTATGGTTTTTAACTAACATTCATGTAGTGTCTTTGCAAATACTACATAGAGAAACATCAAATGTGTGTTCAAATATTACAGCCTTAGATTAGTCCCCAGCTGGAATTGAACCATGGACTATTATTGTATTTTGTAAAGTTTCTGTTTTTAGTACATAGGGTTAGGGCAGTGCCACATACCACAGCATTTTTTATTGCCTAAGGTAGTTTGCAATGGCAGTTCATAGATGGGCCTTTAAAATACTCACTAATCATCAAGATAATACAGTATATACAAAACTGCACAAAACACAAACAATGATATAATAAAATTACCATAAAACTTCATTAATGAGTACATGCATATGGTATGAAATCTTACATTCTAAACTTAATAGATAATGGCACTTTAACAGGCTAAAACTAAACTGAAAATCACACCTTTTATATACAAAGTTGCATTGAAATAGTCTGACCACAGACTAATCTTTTCATACCGTGAAACCGAACCAACAGGGGTCATCTCATCTCATGAAGTCCTAAACTGTGTGAAGGGCCAGACGTGGCCTGTGGACCTCACTTTGGTTGGCTTGGTTGGCCCGGGGCTAGAGGATGAGACCTGGGGAGAGTTGAGATGAGGCTGTCACACTTCCCATAGATCAGTCATTATCACTAATCCAGTCACAGCACTGGGATCAGCACCAGGCCCATTCATCTAGAACCGTCATTAAAGAGCTAAATGAGAGCTGCCTCTGCTAATGAGGTAATGAGAATTTCTGTGCGAGTGTGTCTGAATATGTGTGTGTGTGTATAAGTGTATGAGTGTGTGTGTGAGAGAGAGAGAGACAGTGAAAGAGAGAAGCAGACAGAGAGGGAAAGACAGGACAGACAAAGAGAAACGGAAAGGACAGAACAAATTTACATTTCTGTGTCGATGCAGAAAACTCGAGACAGAGAGACAGGTACAAACACAGACGAATGACAGACAGAGGGACAGGCCTATCTGAACCATGTTGGCATGTGTGTGAATCAATTTGCAGCTCTCCCATCAGAGGGACCGTATTACTCACCCGCCTCACCCAGTTCTGTTTACTGCTCTCCCTCGCCACATGTAAACAAAAGCCAGAGTTGTACTTGTTCACAATCGCTCTTTAATTCGATGCAGCTTCGGATGCATGTATGCAGCTGTTTTCTTCTGTTAATTGCAATACCACCAGGGTAAACATTATTGTCCTCTCAGTTATACTCCAGCCTAAAACAAAGTACTGCTGAGGCTGTGTGAAGTGGGGATGTCGTGCTTTGCTGTGTGACATAAATCAATTATTTATGCCTATGAAGCCTCAAAATATTTATCTTGCCCCATGGTATACGAGTCCGAGGCCTCAGAAAACAAATAGACGTTTGTATCAAAGGCGCACGGGTGTAAACAGCGGAGTGGAAAGACAATGTACGACCACCCGAGGGAGGTGGTGACGTTTAGTGAGAGAAGTTTGGGAAAAGCTAGTCAGTGATTGGAAAACGCACATCAAACAGGGAACACATTACCCAGTGCCTTACAGGCCCGTATATGCTTTCTGGCATTGACATCACACAGAGCAAGCAAAATAGAAACCCTGATCTAATGCTCTCATTACATCTGAGATCCCTTTCACGGTGATTGAGTTATGATTAGATAACACAAAAACATAAATCCACAGCACCAGATATGGGCACCCAACCAGGGGTGGTCGAAGACACATGTGGCCACATTAACACCAAAAGACAGATGAGATGCCATATGGATCAACTATGTAAACAGTAATAATGTATTGTAAATATCCAGGCACACAAATCAAACTGTTTGTAAGCTGCTCAAACAGTACAATCAGGTCAAAATGGATTCAAAATGCATTTTCAGATAAATTGATTTCAGTTCAGCAGCAGTATCCTGGTTACTAATGTATGCATATGGTACTGTTAAGGTTAGGTAGCTAAAACCACTTGGTTATGGTAAGGGAATCAGGACTGTTTACTGTGCAAAAGTCACACTTCTTGATATTAAACTTGGCCTGAATGTATGTTAATTATACATGAAAAGAAATTGCAGGAGATATAGCTGCAACTGAGCAATGCAAACATTTAGTTCCTCCCCCTGGAAGCTAGCACCAAGTAGATCTTTCACAAACTACATGATACATTTATCAATAGGTCAGACGCTCGGCCTTGTCATGGAAATAATTTGGGTACAATTCAAGGCAGACTATATAACTGAAACCTAAAGTATCATATATTTGTTATAATTTATGCAGTAAGTATGCAAAACACACACATACTTTCTTGTCCAGGTGCTGAGTCCAAAACTGTAGCTGTGTTTTGTGTTTCTGAGGGTCTCACAGAACTTTAAAGTACTTTTTTTTAATCTGATGACATTGGACATT